GGAGGAGCAGTGTGCTGTGGCCCCAGGTGAGGACTCCCTGGGTGAGGCCTCTCCCGGCTCTCCTCCGGCGGCAGGAGGGGCAGCGCAGGAGGAGGGCTGTCCCTCGGAAGGGAAACGCCAGCATGAGGGGGGCCTGAGGCCCTTGCTGCCACCCTGCCTTATCAATCCAAGGAAGAGACTACGGACGGCAGCCCCGAGCGCTTCAGATTCTGCCGTCACTGGCGACGAGCCCATCTCTGACAGCGAAATCGAGCAGTATCTGCGGAGCCCGGAGGAGATGCGTGCCTTCAGGAAGGCCAAGGCCTGGCCCTGAAGATGGTCGTCCCTGGCGTGGTCCAGAGGACGGTGCTGCCAGAGACACTGGGGCAGCCAGGACTGTGGGACCAACAGCAAGAAACCCGATGGTGACAGAGCCATCGCGTGCTGCAGGGACAGTTGCCCAAGGGAGTGGGGTTGTGGGAAAGGAGTGGGTCATGTCCCATTTCACGTTCTGCACCAAAATGGGGCTTTTTATAGAGTAACTGCTTTGGGTTATGTTCTGTTTCTGTTAGAAATAAATAGAAGCGCAGGTGCCAGGACTGGTTTCTGGATTCTCTCCCAATGCAGCCTATGGTGAAAGGTGTTTTGGTGAGTCCCGCTGCTGTGGGGCAGTGTCACGGGCCAGTCTGGTGAGCCCGTGGACTTACACTGGGGGTGATGCTCAGGGGAAGGTCTCCAGTACCTTCACTGGTGCTGATGTGCTGTAGTGCTGCTCTGGCTTTTCTGGGGCGGTTTCACCTTCTCGTGCTTCACCTTCTTCGGCAGGATGGGTTTGTGAGGGTCGAGACAACACCTTAACTCGCTGAGAGAAAACTATCCCCTCCTTGGTTACATAAGGCATGTGAAGCTGCTGGAAATTGTGGCAAAGCTTCGGCTGGTGCGTGCGGTGCCGCTGGCTGTTCACGGCACTGTGCTGCTCAACTCGGGGAAAACAGTGCCCTCTCCATGCCTGGTGGCCTGTTGTATTTGAATGCAAAGTCTGTAAGAAATAACAGTCGGGCTTGGCAGATTGGCAAATCTTTAATATATTAAACAAAACGTATCTGCTAGAAACATTCTATTTATATAAAAATGCAAAAAGACCCCTTTAAAGACATTTCTTTGGCATACTTTCCCCTCCCTCCCCCATGTATATTGCAAGAAGCTCTCTGTTGATATGTCATTTGCTTGTAATGTAAACAGACAAAAAAGAAGTGTAATAATAATACAAAGCTTTTACATAATACTGTCACAGTGCAGCAAGCATATATAACAACTCAGCATCAGCAAGACCGTGTAGGCTGCGGTATGGACAATAAGGATTTAAGTTGTATTAAATACCAGGCGCAGTGAGACGTGGTTTAAGCGGTGAGTTGGGCAGAGAAGTCGAGGCAGGCAGGGAGCGGCAGGACCGCGTTAAGCCCAGGGGTGCCTCAGCCCTGCGGGGTGCGGGTTCCCCGAGGGGTTCCGAACGTGAGACAAATCCATCACTAAGTGCTTTCTACTCCACCGGCTTGTGGCTCCCTCTCCCCACCGGCCCCTGCCTGGTCCTCATGACCCCACAGGAGGTAGCTAAATAATTAAACCCATTTGCATGCAGGTGACAACTGAGGCAGGAGATGGCTGGAAAGGGCGCAGGAGGCACCAGGCTCTCATCCTGCTGCCTCTGCATCACTCTGACAGCTGACACTGATGGCAGCCCGGCTCGACACAGCCCCGGTCCAGCGCAGGGAGCTGGTGGATGGGGTGCTACCACCTCTTCTTTTAGGAAATCTTCAAGACCCAGCAGGGGATGGCTCCCAGAGCCTGCTGCTGCTGCCTGCAGTGTGGCTTTTTTATCTGCATGCTAGAAAAAAGGGGGGACTTGCTTTTAAATGGGGAAAAATAAGTGCTTATCCAAGTTCCAGCCCTTTGAATGCATCATGTGAACTGTCCGAGGAAGGTCCCTAATTAAATGGCATCATTCTCCCACTTTCCCAGCAACGGCCCCTGCTCCCTGGTGCTTTCCTCTCATCTTACATGAGTGGGAGGCCGGCAGCCGGGGGGAGTGTGTTTCTCTGCCTTCCTAAGAGCAAACCCAAGTATGTTCTGAGCGTGCACCCCTGGGTTGAGGACGAGGACCTGCTCTGGGTCTCTGCCCATGGCTCAACTCTTTGGTGCTTTAGCAGAGAGGGTCAGGCTCGGCTCCGGCAGCGGCACGGCTCCGCCAGCCCACCCATTGCATAGCTTATGCCTCCGAGGGCTTGGGAGCCTTTTCTGGCCGTGACTTTTAGTGTCTGGCATTAAAACAGTGCAGACAGTCGCCTCGCCTGGGAGCTGAGGCTCCTCTTACCTTGTGCTTGCTTTGCAATATGGCTTTTACTTTGGCAGCCGCGTAACCCACAGGGCTAAACGCTGGCGTCTAACACACGCAGATAAACACTTTTGCATGTAAAAACATTTAAGACGGAGAAGCTGCTCTCTGACTCCCTCAGCAGCAGCTTGCTCAGGCTGGGGGGGGGTCACACAGGCATCGGCGCTACGGTGCCTGTATGTAAAGGGCACTTGGTGTGGTCCCCTCGGCGGGAATATTGCAGTCGTGGCACGAGCGGGCTCTTGCCAAAGCGCCCGGGGACTTGCCCGCTCCCGGAGAACACTGGTTGGTAACGAAGCACTCGCATCACTTACTGATCTGTCTATACATATATACATTCAATAATATAGCTTTGAAAAATAGACATTTGTTTCCTCTGTATATTATAAAATAGCATTTAGGATCAGTCTTAAGTGACATGCAGGGGTGATTAAAGCACGGCTGCAATTCAGGCTGCTGAAGAGCAAGGATTGCCTCTCACCTCCAGACCCCACTGCTGCCATGGAAGCTTTGAGCCTCCTCGGGGGGGAGAACGGGGGGCGCTCAGCATCGCCCTCCAGCCGGGCTGAGCCGGATGCCCCGGCCGTGCCGCCCGTCCCCACTAGTGCATCGGGTGATT